TTGTCTTCTGGCAAGACATTTATTGGGTGCAAGTGAGGTTTCAAAATCAAGACTAAGTCTGATGGTTCCATTGAGCGCTACAAGGCTCGTCTGGTGGCCAAAGCTTATTCCCAAGAATATGGAGTTGACTATGATAAGACTTTTACTCATGTTGGTCATCTCACTACTATTTATTGTCTTCTTGGTTATGGGTGAGAGCATAAAGGTTATAGGCTTAAGGATCCGGTTTCTAAACAGTTTCCTATATCTCGTCATGTTACCTTTTGGGAGAGTGTCATGTTTTCCATTCTGTCTAAATTTCATGTCCCATCTATTCCTGGTTCACCTTCTTTCCTGTCGGCACGTCCTCCCTTGTTTCTTGATCCTGATCCTACGGCCCCATCACCGCCTTCGGATTCTGTTCCAGTTGAGTCTTCTAATCCACCTCCAATTAAGGCTTCTGATCCACCTCCGACCTTGTCTTCAGATGATGATCCGGCTGCGGTTCCTAGACCTGCCATACCTCGTCGATCACATAGAGTGAGTCACCCTCCTCCTCACTTGCGTGATTATCATTGTTACTCTGCCATATTATCTTATCATGAGCCTAGGCCATTTCGTGAGGCGAGTGCTGATCCATTATGCAGCAAGTTATGACTGAAGATTGGAGGCTCTGGCAAAAATTCATACTTGGAATTTAATGGATTTCTCTTATGGCAAGACACCTATCGGGTGCAAGTGGGTTTTCAAATCAGAATAATTTTGATGGTTCCATTGAGCGCTACAAGGCTCGTCTGGTGGCCAAAGGTTATTCCTAAGAGTATGGAGTTGACTATGAGGAGACTTTTGCTCCCGTTACTCTTCTCACTACTGTTCGTTGTCTTCTTGCCGTTGTTGTTGCTCGGTAGTGGTCTCTTCTTCAGTTAGATGTCAAGAATGCATTCTTACACGGCTCACTTTCTGAAGAAGTTTATATGACTCCCCCTATAGGATTCTCGTCCTCTGGAAAGGTTTGTCGCTTTCGTCGCGCTATATATGGGTTGAAGCAGGCCCTTTGGGCTTAATATGCCACATTTAGCGCTGCACTATTGGAGTTTGGTTTTACTGCATGCGCTTACGAGTCTAGCTTATTTCTTCGTCGTTCTTCATATGGGATAATTATACTCTTCCTTTATGTTGATGATATGATTATCACGGGAGATGATGCGTCTGGTATCTCTGATCTACAGACATATCTTAGCCAGGAGTTTGAGATGAAGAGTTTGGGTCCCCTTCGTTACTTCTTGTGGCTTGAAATCTCTGATTCTTCCGGTGGTCTCTTTCTCTCTCAGGCTAAGTATGCCTCCGATCTCCTTGCTCGAGATGGTCTCACAGACTGTCAGGCAGCCTCTACACTACTTGTCTACGACGTTCGACTTACTCCTCATGATGGCTCTTTCTTGATGACCCTACCCGCTATCGTCAACTTGTAGGGAGCTTGATCCACTTGACTGTCACTCGACCAGATATCGCTCATGCAGTTCATACTGTGAGTCAGTTCATGGCCGCTCCGAGGACCTCTCACCACTCTACCGTCTTACATATTCTTCATTTTATGAAAGGTACTCTTCTACATTGTTTACACTTTTCCTCTCATTCGTTTTTTATTCTCAGCAGTTACTCTGATGCTGATTGGGCTGGTGATCCTACTGATCGTCGTTCGACCACTGGTTTTTGCTTCTTCCTTGGCGATTCTCTCGTCTCTTGGCACAGCAAGAAACGGACTTTAGTTTCTCGATCGAGTCCCGAGTCGGAGTATCGTGCCCTTTCTGACTCTACGTCATAAATTTTATGACTTCGTCGATTACTCAATAATCTTTGTGTTCCTCAATCATCTTCTACGGCTCTTCACTGCGATAGTTAGAGTGTTATAAAGATGGCCCACAATGATACCTTTCACAAGTACACCAAGCATATTAAGCTTGACTATCACTTCATTCAACAACATATCATCGGTGGTGTTGTCCATCTCGTTTCGGTCTCCTCCGCAGATCAGACAACAAATATCTTCACCAAGTCCTTTCTTCCCAACCACTTCCGATTGCTCTTGGACAAACTCAAGTTGGTTTCTACGGAACCCACTTGAGTTTGAGGGGGGATGTTGAGATATTTTAAACATTCGGTTTTAGATTTAGTATATTTATATTTAGATTTTGTCTTATCTATAGATTACATTACTTAGATTTGAGTCTATCGAGTCTGTTTTGTATTACCTGTATATAGGCACCTTATTTTGATTATCAATAACACAATCTCATTATTTTTCCTCAAAATTTCTAACATCTAATAAGACAGAGCCTAAAAAATTGTTTGAAATAAAAAAAACTTCATTAGATTTCTCATCCAGTCTCACAAGAATGGGGCACGTGAGAGACTTTCATCACAAAATTCAAGAACTCGAGACTTTCCTATCGTGACAGCCCAGCATTCAAACACAATAATTGTAAGTAAAGCAACTTAATAATGCTTGAATTTACAATACAATATTTTGTACAAACATACCTTAATTCCTTAAGACATCAAATTGAATTACTTTAACTAATTAATACTTCCTCCATCCCACATTGGATGTCCTAATTACTATAGACATGTGAATTTAGAATAAGTATATAATTAAAAATGTATTAGTGAAAATAATTAACGTATAATATAAATCATACTTATTAATTTAATTAAAATTAAAAAAAATAAATTTAAATTTTAAAATAAAATTAAGGTGTGTAATTATTTTTCAAAAAAACAAAAAGTGAAATGAGATATCAAACACAGAAACGGCAATATGGACATGATAGGTGGGATGAAGAGAGTAAAAAATTTGTACAAATATTTTAATAATTAAAATATAAACCATTAATTGTTCACAACAATCAAAATAAATCTTGTGAATTTCCATCCACCTGCACCTCCCCATCTCCACTGAAGGACCTTGCTATCAACGGGAGACGTCTTAAGTGTGCCTTTATCAACGTCCTTCCACAGACTTATTTTGACGCACCTTTTAGCCAGGACCCTAAGGGCAAACTTCACCCTCATTACAGCAATGGTCTTCCGTACGTCACTATTATCCTTTACTTGAAACAAGCACACCTTATCGTGTGACCACATAGTAACTTTGTTACGAACCATCGTTCACAACTCTGATTTTGTCATGACTCTTAAGAAAATTTAACTTTCGATTGTTAGAAAAATTTAAATCAGTAGGGTAAAAAGAATAACAATTTGGGTATTCGTATCAGATCGTATTTGAATATGTTGTTACACATTCAAGATCGACAAGCCTTATATTCACAAGAAACACACGAATCTAACAAAGAACTTAAGCAAAATTTTATATTACGAAAGCTACTGCTCGGACTCAGGTTACCCAATCGAAAAACAATCCCAACACCAACTGTAATGCACAACACAGACCCAAACACAATCGACATCCACAGAAACACAACAATCATGCGAACCAAACCTCGATCTAAGGAAAACATCAACAATCTAAGCCTATTCTCTCTCAAACAGACAACATACACAATACACTGTAAGGAATGCTCAAATCAATAAATCAAACCGAGGAATAGCCTCAGAACAGGCTGTATGTCGAAGACCTCAGCCAGAACCTTTACTTCGCCGAACAGATCACCGGAGAAACCCAAGGAAGATCTATTGGAGTCGCCGTCGCGGGTTAGGGCTTTTTAGAGAGAAGAATCGCGCGTCGGGGAGAGAGAAAGAGTGAGTGTGAGACTGAGAGTCTGTCTCTCAAACCGGGTCACAGAACAGATTTATATACACCACTGTTCCAGACCCGTTCGGCTCCAAATTGGGGCTGTTAAGCAACAGATCGGCGGTTTCTCAAAGAACCGGAAATGGTTCGGGGTTACCGGATCTGGGTTTCGAGTTGTGCGGGTCGGGTTGGTGCATCACCAACCTCTCAAGTCATTGGCCAAAAATAACTCCACATAATATACTTTTCCAAAAATTGTATTTCAATCTATTGTTGGGTATTAGTAAATTAACTTTATGAATAATTTGTATGATCTCTTTGATGTTGACGGCAAAATCAAGAATAAAACTAAAAGAAAATTGCTATTACAATAAAATATTTATAAAATACAATATATCGGAATTAATTCTAATTTTCTGCCAGTATATTAAATTCTAGAATTTTCAATCTGATTCCGAATTTTTCAATGGGTCAGATTTTCAATCCATATATGCATTTTGATTTAATTAGGCAATTATTTAAGCAGATGTAATTTTTTAAAAAATGACGCAATTTTTCAGATTTAATCAGAAATAAAATTAATTTTATTTAATTAATTTTACTTTTGCAAGAAATTAATAGGTGCAAAAAATCCATGTACGTTCATGAGTAGACATAATTTATCACAATAAGATTGAACTAAAATTATCCAAAGTAAAAGCCACGGGATGATGAGAATACTTTTACTATTGCACTCTTTTTTTTCATTGATGGTTCTGTAAATATTCATTATCTCTTAGCTATTGTGTAAATATGATATTTGTTTTTGAGAATATTAGTGAAACACAACAAATATCTTCAAGCTTTTGTGAAAAAAAGAGTGTGTATATTAGTGTGTATTGTACAGATAAAAGTTGTACCTAGAAGCTTCAATAATATTTCATTGCTACTTATTGTGTTTTTTTTTTTTTTTTTTTTTTTTGTAATTTTAGATGGAAGAAATATTTTATTTTTATATAACGTGAAAATGTGAGTCCAATAAGACAAATATTGTTCCCTATCCCTATTGTATTTGTCGTACCATACATGACATCGATGTTCTTTTCAAGATAAAATACAAGAATATTAATGAATAAATTGTACAAGTGTTGCTTCGGAGTGTTTTATATTTCTTGTGGAGATTGAATACTGAACTTATTGTTGGCTCTACTGTTATTATTATTATCATTATTGTTATAGAGTAAAGGTGGCTAAATTCGCAAATAATTAATATGATGCATACACTAACAAATTCTAAAAATATTGAGAATCTTTTAGACTGGAAGCATTTGTGTGCGTGTCTGTATATTGTGTCAATTCATTCATACGACCAATGCGAATGCCTAAAAGAACTTAGCAAGCTAACAAATCAAATGAAATCAGATCTCACCCACAAGTAGTCAACATGAGTTAAAAGTAAGAGAGGGAAACCAACACGGGCGTGTCGGGGGGGTGGACGAAGATGAAGTGGCAGAGCTAATTAATTAACCGAAGAGGCAGGCTTCCAGCAGGATATGGCGTATACAATCCTGCCTTTCCACCCCATGAGCAGCCACGACCCGTCCTGATCGATGAGGAAATCCTTGTGGTAGAATGCCCTGACCTTGTGCCTCGCCCGCTCCATCATCTCCCTCTCCCAGCCTACTTGGACGAAGCCAGCCCTCATGTCCCGCACCTGCCACTGCTTGTACGTCTCCGGCCTCTCCGTCCTCTCCCACCCCTCGCACGCAATCACATTCAGCGCTTCCTTCCCGAATATATCCCTTTCGATCAGCCTTCTCTCCGCTCTCTCCCGCGGTATATTCGTTTCCAGCATGTCGAACATTGCTGAAAAGTGGAACAACACCTCGCGGAACCGAGTCACAAAGAACGGGGCACTGTATGCCCCGTTCACTATCCCGTGAATGAATACATTTGGATCGATTTTCCTAATCAAGTTAAGCACCTTTGTTCTCGCACTCTCGGCTACCACCGTCTCGTCGAGCAAGTTTTTGGTTCGGTACAAGCAGTTGACCACCACAAATTCATCCTTGTCGATCTTGAGATCCTCTATCCTGATTGTTTCCCAACTTTGTGCTATGGCATTGTACTCAAACGGGACATCAAACATTTTGGCATAGTGTGCCAGCCTGCGTCCCGTCTCCTGGATTCTCTCCGCAGGTCTGAATCCCGGCTGTGGGAAGTCAATGCCTGTAATCCGAACAGTAGGAGGACCGCCTTTCCTCTCGGCTATTCGTTGGAGAAACGTCGGCCACTGAAAGCCGTATAGAATACCAAAATCTATGACATGAACTCTCATTGCCTTGGCCGATTTGATCATAATGGTCTTGTTGGATGCAAAGTTGGATATTTTCCTGAATGGGGACGAGGCGAGGTAAGTGTAGTAAGCTCTCAAATACTCAGCTGCAGTTGTTCTCTTATTCACCAGAGCCTTGTGTATTTGGCTTCCAGTTCCTGCCAGACGGGCCTCCAGGCCATCCGCAAAATAATAAGCCAACCGCTGATTCCCATCCCCGAGGGGCGAAGAATGCTGCCGGATCTGTTTTAACAGCTCGTTAGCATTCTGACAGTCATCTGCAGCAACAGCCTGAGCACAGTTGATCAAGAGGGTTCTCAGATCTATCACTTGTTTCTTCCTCCCCTGTTTCTTGCCACGCCCCTTTCCCCTGCTCGATCCTTTGGGCTTCGTCACCTGGCCCTGGCTCGCTGCATCTCGCAGGTCATCCCTGTAAGCAGCAAATTTTTCTCCACTCTCCCCAAGGGTATGAAGCAAAACATCATCGAATTCTTCCATTGGAAGATTAGATTCCACGGCAACTGCTGAGAGCTTGCTACTTCTCCCCTCTTGGCGATCCAAATCGATATCCCCGGCATGAGTTTTCTTGCCCCTTGTCCCTATCTTTTCCCTTTTTAGGCATTCATCTATGCAACTGCCATCCAACAAGTTAGTAGTAGTAGTAGTAGTGCCACCACCACCACCACCACCACCACCACCGGGGAGGAGCTTCCTCGCCTCTTCAACACCTTTCTTGAAATTCCAAACAGACTGGCATTGGTTGTCGTTGCACAACATATCCCGCATTTGAAGAGGACTTATCGGGGAATCGGAGAATTCTTCCGCCAGGCCATTCAACCTAAATCCGAAATAACCTTCTAGGGAATCATCACAATCCACCTGGCGGCCCTGGCCATCATTCAGATTCAGGTAGCCGTGATTGATAAGATCCGTTCTAGGCTGCTGCGGCTGCAGCTGCGGCGAAGGAGGATACTTCTTACCTAGTACCTCGTAGAACGACTTCTCTTTCGCCTGAAAATCCAATGACTCTTGAAGCATATGTGTCTTGTCCTCTATGTCTTCTTCCATCAGCATGTAGTCAATGTATCTCAACACAGCATCTGAAAAATCACAGTCATCTGCATACTCATCCTCGGTTTCTGTTACAGCCGGTGGAGTTCCGGGCACTGCAATGCCTTGGTAAAACGACACCATTTCTTCTCCATGGCCATTGACATTGACATTGACCAGCTTCTGTTCTGAGTTAGAGGTCGCAAATCCAGGACCACTCCCATCGGGAAACTCGGCCATGGATTGATTCCTTATCAGTTGCAATCCATTCCAAGAAGGATCCCTCCATTGAAATTCATTAGTTGGTCCCCCAAAACGTGGATCCATGTTTCTTTCCGCACGCTTGACGAACAAAATGTATTCCAAACTTGTATGGTCAAACCAACAAAAAATATCTCATTCCAGTTCAAGACCAAACCCTAATCGAAATGGTAAGAGGGGAAATGGTTCAATCTTCCTGACAAGCATCTGTATACTGAAACTCGAAAGTGAAATTGAAAGAGGGCGACGAAGAATCTAACTCAGTCGATCACTAACCCCAACTCAAAATATAACATCAGTAAACCAAATCATTCCTACAGAATGTATGTGTATCTTCTTTTCTCCAGAAAACCAAAAACGGGCAAACGTGTTTGTTTTTTTTAACTAGGGCAGACAAAATCACAGTAATAATCCAAATTTGAACAAGACCAAAGCAAGCAAATTAGCGCACCTCATCAGGAAAAGGGACCCGAGACTAGGAAGGAAGCAGTATGATAATATGTAGGAGTAGTTTTCTGTATTTAGTTTGTTACTAAGAGAGAGAGAGAAAGGTGGGGTCTGATGATGGATGTATCTGGCCGTAATATACAGAGGCAGAGGCAGAGGCAGAGGCAGAAGCAGAGGACAGGCTGTAGGCAAGTAGCACGCAGGCCGGCGGTGACTTTTACAGACATAGCATGTCAATCACTAACCATGGCTTCAGTTTGACCGTCCACAGTGCCAGTCTCTCCATCCTTCACTTTCCTTTCCATTTACCTCAGTCAAGTGGGGTGGATTTATTCGTTTCATACCTGGGGGTGGGGTTGATTTCTCTATTTTTCTAAAAGGAAAGAGATTCGAATCGAAAACATGGCTACGTTCAGATTCATCCATCCACCCGTAGACGAAGAAAGCAACAAAGTTGATGGTTTCCAGATTGCAGTCGCAGGGCAGGCAATAGTTAATTAAAGAAATTACAGGGGCTACGCGGGGTGGGTGGGTCTGGAGAATGGAGATATAGATGGAGATGGAAGCCACGTGCAGAGCGCGTGAGTTGAATCTCTCTAGTATCTTTTTATATATATATATATATAATTATAATTTATACTTATATCAGCGTGGGTCCGTTCATATATATTTTTCTCTCAATTTTTTTAATTTTTAATCAAAATAATTATATTAATTACTCATAATTAGTACTTTACAATTATATTTTCAATTAATACATTATTAATCAATATAATTAATAATTGTTAATACATTAATATAAAGCAAATCGAATGAGTCTTACGTCTAACATAAATTTTCTTAGTTTTCTATTTTATAATTAAATTAATTCTATATTAATTATATATTGGTAATGAAGTTATGATTTATATGCTACGGAAGAACTATAGAGAACCATAAATCAGGTTGTTTCGCTAAATGAACAATCCACTCAAACTCAAATAAGTGGTCCGTTTTCCAGTTCTTCCCGATGATCCTTCTTATTTGAGCATTCTGAACTTGCATGCACGGAGAAGAAAAGATCACAATGAAACATTGATTAACTAATTGAACCAGTGAGATAAAGTTTAAAATTAATTGACTAATACAAATAAAAACGGGGTGAACACAGAACAAGTTTGGTATCATTTGTGGTAAAAATAGGGAGTACCGATGAAATAGTGGATGCAGAAGTCATAAGATTTATATAAGAGGTAATATGGTTACTACACGCATAATCAAAATATTGAGGGTTACGCGGTAGATATGGCGATATTGGAAGAGAAAACTTGTTTAAGAAGAGTTTCAAAACCCTGAATCGTAAAAGGTGCAAACGCAGGCGTGACAAAGACTGACAAATAAGGTACTAGACTTATGAGGTCCACGAGGATGCTGAAGCTTAGAATTATTGCCACCAGAACGTGACTGCCTAGTAGGGCAATAATGTATAGTATGTCCCAAAACATGACAATAATAACACTCAAGAGGCATATTCATAATTGTTTTTCACTAGTGACACAATAGATAAATTAAAAATAAAATATATTAGAATAATAATATTAATATTAATAAAAACAAATTATTAAAGATAAAATAAAAATTACTCTCGCATCATTTATCCACTCTTTCTATTTCGGTCAATCCCACATAATTTGTCCTTTTAGATTTATAGAAATATAATTATATTTTTTAATCACATTTTAAAATTCATAATTTATAATTATTTATTTTAACTAAACTATTTAATCATATTAATCTTAATTTATAATTATTTTTATTATATCATAATTATTTTTACTAATACACTTTTTAATTATTTACTAATTATATAATACATAAAACTTTGTGCCCCAGCTAAAGTGGATAAATTAGTTAGGACGGAGGGAATATTTTATTATATTTATATTTTTAAAATATAAATTAATTATTTTAATTGTATTATATTTTAATTATTTGGGTACATGTTACTCCATCCATCCTACACAATTTTTTCTTTTTTTTTTTTTAATATAATTATACACTCTAATCACATTTTAAAATCTATAATTCATAATTTTTTTAATTTTAATTAAATTATTTAGTTATTTTAATCTTAATCTATAATGATTTTTACTAATGTCTTTTTTAATTACTTACTAATTATACAATACCTAAAACTCCGTACTCTAGCCAAAATAGACAAATTAGTTGAGACGAAGGAATACATATTAAAATTTCAAATTTTAAATAGTCAACTATTTTTTTGGATAATGATAACATTTCAAATTTTAAGTGGGGCACTCAAATATTTTAGTAATAGCACAATTATTAAATTATAAAAATATTTTGTTTGATAGAATAAAATTATTTGTGGTGTGTGTCACTACTACCTTTAACCTAAGTCCGTCCCCAATGACACTCCACCTTGGGGATCATGATCATCGCTCACAACAAAGTTGACGACTCTGAATAGGGTTCCAGGTGGTGATAACAATAGCAGAATCAAGCAAGGAACCCTTGGCCAGGTGAAGACGGATTTCTTTAAAGAGAATCTCCTGAATAGCCGGCCGAATTCAATGTAGGGAGTGGATGCCAATGTGATGCAAATGCAATCGAGGGATTCAGAAATTTGCAAACCACAGGAAATAAAGAAATGGAAATGTGCGGAATTTGGTGGAAGAATAGAGATGAAACAGGTATGGATAAAAGAATACTTTGGTTTCACAATTCACAAGGTTGATTGGATAGACACCACTTTGATGTTTCTTAAAATTTATTTGATTTCAAGAGTGATTCTTGTTTGCTTGATTATTCGAGATTGTGCAATACAATCCTCGGTAGTCTTTTAAAACCGGGTTGTTTTCGAGTGATTCTAGATAGTTCGTCGCCTCTCAATTGGTGCTGGACCGCTTGTCGTGTCAAACTTCATTCCTTGATTAGTTTAGAGATCTTCTTGTGAGTCGTAGAGTCGATAAAAATCATGTTTGGGAGAACAAGAATACTTTTTAAGAAGACGGGAATGACGCGGTCGTCCAAGCTAAAAAAAAAAAATATTGAAGATGGACTTTCTAGACATTACAATTCCTTTTTATCCGACTCAAAGGTCACCCAACCGAGTCATCCCGATGCCAGAATCATGAGAACCGGGACTTCAAAATTAAGACAATAAATAATTATGGAAGAATCTTAAAGGTACCTTATTATATATTACCTTTTATTATAAGTTTTCATATAGTATAATTCAATATCTAGAACTTTTCTTATTATTTGTTACCTTATAGTTGAACTTATATTTTTTTGGTTTGTTTCATTTATTATTTGTTGTCTTTTATTTTCCTCAAGGACCTCTATATAAGGTCATTGTCTATCATTGTAATAGAATAGAGTGAATCTTGAATAAAATTTCTTTATTGTCCCTCTCAATATTTGTCTAGTGCTAGGATGTGATTTCCTCACACTTAAATATGTTACATCGGGTCTCTGGAGTTATTCCATGGGTTCGTGGCTTCCAATCATTTGCAGTAGGATTTAGCCTATTGTTTTTGTTTTAACCTATGGTTTGATTTCAGGTCTGAAACTTATTCTCGTGGTTGGTTGTCATCTATATTAATTCACATTCTCTGCACTATCTTTTATGTTTTATTCTTTTCTTTCACCTATATTCCGAACCATTGGTTCTCTATTGAACTTTGTGGCTAAGGAAATTAGTCTGGCCATAATTATACACAGTCGGGCCGTGTCACAATGTTACAGGGAGGCACGAAATGCCTCTTACTTTAGACGAATGGCCATCAATATTTGAATAAGGCGTAGATAATCAGGATTGATCTCAACCTGATCCAAACGATGCCAAATGGGTTGCACCTGAGCAAAAAAAAATTGTTGACAAAATGTCATTATTCTTGTTTCAGACCATGTAGTGTACTTCAAAGTTGATAATAATGTGCCAAACCAGTAGCGCGGAAGCGAACTGCCAAGAAATCCCATGTTGCCCTAGCAATTTGAAATTGGACGAGCTAAACTTGTAATGCCTAAGTAGATGTATTGCGTAACCAGGTAAAATTTTGATGATTCTTATTGTCCCAATCCTCCAATTTCTCAATATATGATTCGACAGTTTTAGAGGCCAGCGTAACGTCTCTTATAAGAAGGGGAGCAACAGAAGCAACTATATCCCCAGTAACAATCCGTCATAACTTCCTACTTATCAAAAAACTTTTCATCGACGGCGCCCACGAACTATAATTATCTGCGGACAAAGTAATATTTATTATAAAATAAACATCTATCTTTTCCACACCAAAGAAAAAAAAACTGAAAATAAATAATATCTCAAGTCCAAAACCGAATCAACAGAAGAACAGACAGTAAACCAAATCAAACCCAAAATGAAAAAAAAAAATCAGATGATCACAGAATAGTGCTCAAACGGAGAAATTGAATATACCATCGGAAAGAAAATCAAATTCCGAGCACGAAGGTTCAAAAATCTCCGGCAACCACTATCGTAAGCGCTCCCACGCACTGACGAAGAGTCTGGCGTGATTTCTTCATCAAGCGCGTGACGGCTACACGCGCTGTTGTTCAGGGCAGTTTTCCAACGGTTAGCTCATCTCACGCCGGCGCATCCGGTGATGGTGATGGTGGCGGTGACGGTCGGAAATGGTTTGAGATATGGATCTGAGATGAACAACGTTTTGGGTTATTTCAGGTCGTACCATAAAAGAAAAAATCAGAGATCTGATACCGTATTAAGATAAACAGAATAAATTAATTTTTTAAAAAATAATAATTAGGGTACATTGTCATATATATATATATATATATATATGAGATTATAAGCCGGATTATATACATAAATATATATACAATATATATCAATACTACTATAAACAATGATATTTTATAAAGTATGAAAAATTGTGATGATATTATAAAAATGAATGTTGTGTTTGTGTGTGCGTTTATCACTTTTGTGTGTTTTTGTTGATTTTTATTATTATATCTATATAATATATATTATATATTATTCATTCCGCCCGGAATAATTATATTATTTCTTTAATTATCTGTTAAATTCATAAAATTATACTCCTTCTGTCTCACTTATAATATTTATTTTTTTATTTTTGTATGTCCCATTTATTTTGTCACTTTTTTTGGGGGAAAGAATTATATATTCTAATCTTATTTTTAATTTTTTAATTTATAATTTTTTTTATTTTAATTAGACTTATTAGTTATTTTAATCTTAATTTATAATTATTTTTATTATATGATAATTAATTTTACTAATATATTTTTAATTATTTACTAATTATACGTCTCCTAAATTCAAATATTTACACTAAGGTGAATATGATATCCAAAACATTTACACTAAGGTGAATATGATATCCAAAACGAAGGGAGTATATTTTATTAAAAAATGTTGAAGATTTTTTTTTTTTAAAAAAATTAAATAGTATAATGTATTAAAAAAAAACTATTCATCAACTATTTTAAAAT